GCCTGCCTTGTTGTCTGGGGTAGAACCTGGGCCCAGCGCGACCCATCAGCGGGAGTGACTGTGCATCTGGGGGCAGGTGTGTGCCGCCTTGAGTCGGAGGAGAAAGTTCTTCCTTAGGACAGAGGAGGCCAGACGGCCAGGAGTGTTGACTCCAAAGTGATGATAGCTAGGATGGCTCCTCCTGGTCCTGGGGAGACTGGATGAGAACCTTCCAGCATGTCACCGGGGAAGAAAGAGATGGGTCAGAGGTCACATGCCGTCAGGATTAAGCAGCATCGCCGGAGCAGCGGAGGGGCCGGAGAGGGGAATTCCGAGAGCCCTGGCTGTGAAGTCCAGACAGACCCGCTTGTAGGCCCAGGCTGCCCCCACCACTCCCACCAGCGCTCTGCCTTCAGGCAGGTGGACTTAATGGGGCGGCCCCAAGAGCAGCCCCACACACTCCAAGCATGGCAGGCCCAGCGCCGTTTTCATCAGTAAATCCCTCCGGACCTTGCTCGAAGCCTGCTCATTCTGTGTTTACCCACCATTCAAATAAGCCGATCTGGTTCCCGCCCTCCCGTACCGCATCAATGGCCCTTACGTGCCCTGTAAGTGCGAGCCGCTGACAGCAAGGAGCAATGGGAGTTGACAGAGGGCAGAAAAGCTAGGAAACTAGACCCATGACATCCAACCCCGCTCTTGGGTTGCGAGGCATCTCATTTCGGGGCACACAGGGAACCAGCAGGGGGCTCGTCTGCGGGCACCGAAGAGGTCCCCGGCTAGGCTGGCAGGACCCTGAGCAGGCTCTAGGAGGAGGCGATCCTTGGCTCTGAATTTTAAAGAACAAGCGGGTCTCGGCCAAGGGGCCAGAAGGAGTGTGTTCCTGGCCGAGCACAGCACAAGCAAAGGCTCGGAGGCACGCATTGGAGGACCTGAGTGGCTGGTGGCTAGAGAGGAGGCCAGGGTGCGGCAGAGGCCGGGCTGGGGGAAGGCCATGCGCTGGCCTCGGCCTTTCCCTACCCTGCAGTGATAAGCCCCTCTGGGGAGCACCTCCTGGGCCCCCTTGTCTGGGCCAGCAAGCCCTGCAGTAGCAGAGTTGATCAACAACATTACTCTCGCTGTTCTCTTTTCAGAGTCAGCAAAGCTTTGCTGAGCACCTACTGGATACCTTGCAGAAGCTCATTTCTTTTTTTCCTCCTTGTTTTACTTTTTCATTTCCTTGTAGGAAATAATGAAAGCACTTGCCCTCCCTTGGCTAACCGCAGGCGCCAGCCTGGCCTCTGCTTCCCGATCGCTGCCCCCCCGCCCCACCTCCTGCCCCCGCACTCATGGAGCTGCGTTTGCCCCCATGAAACTACAGTGTTAGTCTGTATGGACGTGTATGTAAATGGTACATCTTTCTCCATGTTGCTCTTTCCACCGCTGGTGATCTGGACAGAGAGATCAACCCCCATCGTTTTAAAAAAACGGGGCGGTGTTCCTCACCGACCCATTGTGTGTTCACACAGCTGTCCCCTGTGGATGGACACCTTTGGGCTCTTGGCACCAATGTGTGACAACATTTGTACACTTTTATTTTTTAAGAGATAGAGAGTGCATGTGTGAGCGTGGGGGTGCAGGGAGGCAGAGGAAGAGGGAGACGGAGAACCCCAAGCAGGCTCCATACTCAGTGAGGAACCTTCCCCGGGGCTCTATCCCACGACCCCGAGATCGTGACCTGAGCGGAAATCAAGAGTTGACCAGTGGAGTCGCCCAGGCGCCCCAACACTCTGCACACTTTAAATGTTAGTAGACCCCTCTTGGTTGCCCGCCACCGTGCTTGTGCACACGTCCCCCCTCAGCAGCCCCACGACAGTATCTGCTTCCCTTGCTGTAATCCAGCCTTTCCCGCTTACACCCGTGCGGTGGGTACGCGGCGGGCCTCTCCCTCTTGTTTTCATGCCTGCTCACTCTTTGAGTTCACGGAGCTCCTCCTATGTACCGGGTCCCCTACTAAGTGCTGGGAACGGAGCAGTCAAGGCCAAGGGGCCGCCTAGAACTCTTCACAGAGTGTGAGATGCAAATAAGGCTCAGAGAGGTTGAGAGACAGGCCTGGGGTCACCCAGTGAGGGAGGGAGCCGGGAATGGAATCCGGCTTTGTAGGGCGGAAGAGCGGGAGCTGTTTCTCCTCCCAAATCGTTCCTTAGATGGGCTTCTGACCCAGGATCCGCAGCCTCTCCAGATCTGCTCCCATCTGTCCCAGGACCGCTGGGTCCCCTGAGTAACCACATGGGCCCCTGGGAATGGCAGTCCCTCCCCCCAGGGCAGTGGGGCAGACGGTGGGTCCCACCACAGGCGAGGCCGGGCCATGCTCTGCCCCTCCCCCCCCACAATGACAGACTCTACACAGCCTCCCTGTGACTACATTTAGCCTCTGTTTCTGTTTCCTGAATTTGGGTTTCCAGCAGACTTGCCCCCAAACTCTTGCCTCCCCACCCGAAACCAAGCAAGTGAAAGAATAAATCTGTGGTTTGATGTTTTTCCTCTTGTCGTCGGGTGACTGACTGCGAGAGGGGGTTGTGTGTCTGTGACCGCCGGCTGGCGTGTGTTTCAGTGTGGGAGGGGAGGCATGTGAGAGGGGTGCGTGTGTAGAGGGGCGTGTGCGTGTGTGTGTGTGTGTGTGTGTGTGTGTTTAGGAGTCCGTATGTAAACCTAGCTCTCGGTGTCGGAGGTAGCTGGAAGGGCCATTTCTTTGTCTATGGGACTGGTTATCTGTGTGTGTTTGTGCAACTTTTTGCTGAGTGTTGGTTTCAGGGAGCTGTGGGGTTAAGGATGGGTCCATGTGACCCAGCCTGTCTTGCTTTCCAGTTGACTTCCTCTATTACAGAGATCCTATCCACAGTAGAGGATTTCCTGCCTTCAGTGATCATATCATCGAAGGACACTCTCCAGGGAATAGGGAGGTCCTTTGATGAGCAGGGCTTAAAGTTCCTGACCTTATCTTCTGACCCTTTGTGTCTACCCGCTCCCTTAAATTGTGCTCCCCAGAAGGGCTTCCCAAACTTTTTCTTGAGGTGTCAGTGACTATCCTGGCATAATCTGGACTTCCATTCATTCATTCATTCATTCGTTATTTTTCATAAGTAGGCTCTATGCTGGGCATGGAGCCTACATGGGGCTTGAACTCATGACCCTGAGATTGAACTGAAGTCAGGAGTCAGAGGCTTTTAACTGACTGAGCCATTCAGGTGCCCCTCGGCCTCACATTTTTATTAGGAAACAGGGTGGTTTGGGGCAAAGCATGAATGTCTGACCTCCTAGACCTGCCCTCCAGCTGACCTTATCAAACTGTTTGACCTCTGAATCTCAGCTGCTTCTTCTAAAGCGGGAGCAGTGCTGCTTTCTGAGGTGTGTGGATTCAGTGGAAACATTGATGTCAAGGCATCTGGCGCCTGATAGGTGCTCAGAGCATGGTAATTTCCCCAGCCTGCTTGGGCCCATCCCCACATCCTCTCATCGGTATGTGATGCCCACTTGGAACGTTTCCCTGCTGTGAGGGGAGGAGAGGGACCCAGGAACCCCAGACTGTGTGCCAGGCCCCGTGCATCATCTCAGGGGATGCCCGCCCCCCACCCCGCAGTGACACCTTGGGAGACGAGAGAGGGGCACAGAGAGGGAAAATGCCTTGTGGAGGTCACACAGCAAAGCTCTCGGGAGATCCTGCACTTCCTGCTGCCACATGGGGCACAGGCATCAGAGCTTGGGTCCCACTCCCTGTAACTGACCTCTGGCAGGAGAGTAGTTTCAGGTTGATATGTGTTGGAAGGACCACCTTCCCCCAAGGCTCCACGTCTGGCCCCTTTCCCTCCACTGCAAACACCCCCAACATTTCCACACATGCCCACCTCCCCATGTCCCACCCCGTTCCATTAGCCCAAATGCCACATGAAACACAGAAGGGGGTACTAAGGATCCCTGTGTCCGGCACGGTGCTAGGTTACCCCATTAGGCACGAGGGGTGTCTCGAGGGATTTTGAGTTCCCTTAGCTGGGAACTTGGGTCTGACTCCAAGAGGTTTCTGGGTTGGAAGGTGATTTACATGAGACCCTAACCATTACACTATCTGGTACTCGAGGCCATATTAATTGCAAAGTACCTACCACACGCAGAACCCCCAGCCTTCATACCACTCACAACCACCACCTCTTTGGCCTCTTTGACCCTGCCATCCAACAAGAGTACCCATTTTACAGATGGGAAGACTGAAGTTTACTCCTGATTTTAGTGCTCCAGTCTAGGCCACCATTTCTTCTCCTGGCCCCACCCTGCCAACGGCTCCTCTTTCCCGTGTTCTATAATCCAGTCTCCACACAGCAGCTAACACCATCTCTAAAAGCACAGGGAACCCTTTTCTTGCCCCATTTTAGGACCCTCCTGGGGCTTCTCACACCAAATGTAATGGCCAAGCTCCCCGTGCAGATCCCTGCGTGGCCTGGCCCCTGCCTGGCACTCCCCCGCCTCCTGTCCCACCACCTGCAGATCCCACACAGGAACACCTGAAGCCCTTCCTCTCCTCCCTCCTTTGCACAGGCTTCTTGCTTTGGGCCCGGAAAGTTCTTCCCTCACGTCCACAGTGGTTCTGCACGGCATGGCCTCCCCCCTCCTCTTGATACAACTTGACTGTGATTAGCAGATCTTGGGTTTCCACGTCTGTGTGTCTTTCTGTGGACGGGGCCTTGTGCACCCTCTGGGTTCCCAGAGCCTAGCACGGCGCCCAACATACTTGTTCCCTTAGTATAAGATTGCTGGAACCCAGTGGGGGTGTTCATCAGCAGCCTAGCATCACGGCAGGGAGACAGGAGCCAGGATTCAAACTCGGGGTGGTCTGGACTCCAAAATGCACATTCCCATCCATTCCATTCCCATCACAAGCCTCACCCCTGCTCCTTACCCAGCCTCTCCCCTGCTTCCAGCTTCCACGCCAGGCCCCAAAACATGTGACCCCTTTAGTGAAATCAAAATGCCCACGCAAGGAATAGTCTCCAGTGTACACGCTTTAATCAGTGTTGCATAGAAATTCCTGTAGGGACACGTTCCTGCATGAAGGTGGGCTTCCTTCTAGCATTCCGCACGGGATGGCATTTCTTATTTGGGTGAAACGAACACAGGAACGAGCCACGGGGTGGGGGGAGGGCCGTCTCAGTTGTATTTCCGCCCTGAGGGATGGGAACGGGAAAGGGACCTTTAATATAGTGGAACACTTCGCACATTCACTTCCTCCTTTGGGTTTTGGACTGCTCGTCTGTGACCAAATACTGGGTGTGTGGCTGGAGCGTAGACTGTCAAGATCCAAACGAGCGTCTGTGACCCCATCCTTTTCTCCCATTCATCACCCTCCCATTCACCGTCTCCCCCAGCCCATCCGTTTGTCCAGCACGATCTCACTACTAAACCGTCCAGACACCCGGGCTTCCATCCGCTGGTGTATTCATGCGTGCAACCGTCTGGTCATCTCGTCTGCCCGTTAACCCGTCCTCTGATCCCATCATCAACCCGCCTAGGCAGCCACTGCTTAACCAACTCCTCCATCCTCCGTCAGCCCTCAGCGTCCAACCGGTCCAGCTTCTTACCGTATCCAGCCGGTCCGATGGCAACCAAGGCTTCAGCGGAGGCCTCTCCTTAGCCCGCGAGAGCGTCCGGCCGGTTACACGGCCACGCAACATCCATTCCGCCTTCCAGTCGTTCAACGGATATATTTCACCCCTCCCTCCCTCCCTCCCCTCAAGCAACCACCGAACCCTCTGTCACCCGTCCCTCTACCGACCAACGTTCCCCGATGACTTCCCTAACCAGCTGCTTCTCGCAGCGGCACGCTTAGCGGGTCTGCCGTCCGGCCCTGCTCCCCGGCAACCCATCCCATCAAGATCTAGTCCCTCGGCATGGCGGGTCATCGTACAACTTCTCCCTCGTCACCCTCCCTCCTGCTGGCTCTGCGCTCACAGCAGCCTTCGCCTCACGACCCCTCCGGTCCTGCTGGGCGGCTCCCCCTTGCCTGCGGGTGGGGAGGGCGGCCCTGCAGCCCTTCCACCCCCCCTTGCTTGCGAGGTACCTGAGCTCCGTCTCTTTGTTTTATACACCTGCTGGCTCCTCTTGGCCACCTTCCTCTTGTTCACCTTTCCTTCCAAATTCTTTCTGTTCTTGGAGTAGCTGCAGGAGTGGGCGGTGGGCCGCGGGGGACGGTGGTGGGAGTGCATGGTGTGTTTCTGGCGCCTCAGCGGCGGGCTGGGGTACGGGCTCTGGCCCTGGCGGCCCGTGGGGCTCTGGCTGGAGCTCCGGCTGCAGCTCTGGCTCCGGCCGCAGCTCTGGCCGCAGGCTTGGCAGTGGGAGCTGCAGGTGCACGGGCCGCAGGTGTGGCTCTGGGGCCGAGAGTTGCTATGGGGCTGGGTGTGGGTGTTGGGAAGGCTCTGAGTCTTGGTGTCCATGGGAGGCCACGCTGGGAGGGGCAGAGGCCGCCTCCCCCTCCTCTTGCAGCACACCCAGCTTGACAGAGGCCCCGGCGGCCCCTGGTTATATAGTCAGGGCTGATTGTGATGGCACAGGCCGGGGGGTGTAACAGACGTGGCGGGGCTGGGACAAACCCCAGGGCGGGGCTGCTTGCAGGGGTGGTCTGGGGGGTCCCATCTGCCGGTTAAAAGTAGGGACCCTTGGGCCAGATGGCGCTGGGCCCACGTCCCAGATCTGCTTCCTTTCCTCTGGTCACTCACCTGGGCGTTCGCCTCTCCACGTCCCCGTTCCCCTGTCTCTGTAGAACGGTGACAATAAGAACACCTGGCTCCTAGCCCATGGGATGATTTAAATGAGAAAAGTGACGTCCAGCGGTTGGCTTGGGGCCAGACCCCAGAAAGAGCCGGATACCCTTTGTCTAAGCATCCCCAGTGCGTCTCCTTTCTCCCCCAACGCGGCGTGGAAGCCGTGGGTCAGCCAGGTGGCTGGGTAGGTGGACCTTGAGTGGTTGGACAACAGTCACTGGCAGACTGATGGGTGGTCCCAGGCTCTGCCTGGTGAACTCGCCTCCCCAGCATGATTTAAAGCTAGAGGATTTAGAGCTGAGTTCAAACCCCAGTTTGCACTGATGTGCAATTGTGGGTAGAGTATTTAGGTTTTCAAGGCTCAATTTCCTTATCCAACAAAAGGACGGCATTACTTCCTTCACGGTGTTCTTCTGAGCCTGAGGTGCCCCGCAAGCCCCAGGACACCGCCGCGAGCCCCAGGACACCGCCGCGAGCCTGCCTTTCTCCTGATTCCTGCCTATCCACCCTGCTCCCCTCCTTGCTGGTGGAACCCTGCCATACAGCTGGAACCACCCTGGCCCCGCTCAGACCTCCCAGCTTCTGGAGCAGAAAGCCTACACCTGCGTTTGCACATGGCCCCATCGGAGCTGCCAGTTCTCCATCTGCGGCCGCCCACCTCTCCCCACTCTTGGCCAAAGCCCTTACAAGGGCTCAGCTCTTGGCCACTCGGCTAGTACCTCCCACTTTCCCCCCCTCCTCCGCCATGGGACTCCCTCTCGCCTCCCCCAGCCGGCCTCTACTTCTCTCATTCATGCACAACTTTGCCTCTTGTTGTGAGGCTTTGCTACGATCTGTTTTTGTCGTCGGTCAGTAGTAAGTACTCCCCATTGGTCATGGTGAACACTGGTCTCACCATCGGAGCACTTCCTGTGTGGCTGGCACCGGGCCCCACTCTGTCTTGGCAGCTCTGGCCTCAAGCCTCCTAGGAGCTCTGTGTGGGCGGCTGCATGGGGGGCCCCCAAAGATGCATCTGTGTCCCAGCCCCTGGAGCCTCACAGGGACAGTATTTGGAAGAAGGATCTTTGCAGATGTAGTTAAAGATCTCAAGAGCATCCCCGATTATCTAGGTGGACCCCAAATCCGGTGACAAGTGTCCTTATGAGAGACAAGACACAGGAGAAAGCCCACATGGGGCAGAGGCAGAGATTAGAGTGACGTGGCCATAAACCAAGGTAGGCCCGGGGCCACCGTGAGGGGGACAAGGCAGGAAGGATTCTCCCCTAGGGCCTCCAGAGGAAGCGGGGACCTGCCTTGATTTCCCACTTCTGGCCTCCAAGAGTGGGTCAGAATACATTCCCCTTGCCTTAAACTACCAAAATTGTGATCATTTGTTCTAGCAGCCCTAAGAGATGAGTGCACCCTGGGAGGCAGGTGTGATTATTAGATCTTACAAAGGGGAAGCAGGTGCAGAGAAGGTGAGGGACCAGCTCGTCAGGGGGCAGAGCCAGGATTCAAATCCAGGTCTGGCCCGCCCCATTCCCTCCTTTCAGTCACAAAGGGACCCGTGGGGATTACAAAAGATGCATGTGGCTCTGTTCCAAGGGCTTGGCCTTGGGTGGGCTCCATGGGGCCAGTTGGGGGATCGCAGCTGGGCCACTCTGTGAACACCCTCTCTGGGTCTTTGGACCGTCGCCCCCACCCTCCTCCACTCTCCCTCCCCCCATGCTCCCCCCTACCCTCTGCTCCCCACCCTCCTACCACCCACCACAGCAGACTGCCCGCATCCCCACCCTCCAGAGCACAGTGGGACAGAGACAGTGTTTTGTTGATCTCAGGGCCCATCGTGCCTGGCTTACAGCAGGGGCTCCACCATTGCTGGCAAAGGACTGCGTGGGCACTCCAACCCGCCAAGCCACAGCCGGGCCTCTTCCTTCAGACGCCGCCTGCCCCACCTGCCACAGACCTCAGTGGCAGCCTCCTCTTGGAGTAACCGAGGGCCCCTCCTTACATTCGCGTACAGCTCCCCAAGAAACTGTGACTCTCCTGGAAACACTGTGTCCCCTGTACCCCCCTCCCCAGCAGCCCCGATCAGGATCCTTCTCAGGCCCAGGTGGCTGGTGCTTGGGACACTGGGGAAAGGCCGGGGAACGGAGAAGGCATTTGTCCTTTCTTTTGGGGAAGGGGACGGTCAAGGTAGCTGGGGAAGGATGGGCCACAGACACAGTCTGAGGCTTCTTGAAGGCCAGAGTGAGTGGACACAGGGCCCTGTTGTGTCTCTGGGTTCTGGCTGCCTGTTGCTGTGATGAGGGCCGTGGCAGCTAGACCCCTTGATAAAGGCAGGAGTGAGCCTCTGGCGGGGGGTGGGCTGTGGCCCAGGCTGTCCCCTTGACTGAGGTTGGTAGCAGAGCACTTGAGTCCCCTCCCTGTGCTCTGACCACAGACCAGGGCCCCGAGGGGCACCAGCAGCACTTCTGTTGTGCAGGGCCAGATCCCCCCACCCCGTGGTTACTTCTCCCTAATGACTTACCTGCGAGGCAGTGGTCAGTCTCAGCCTTCAACAGGGTGGGCAGGCTGAGGCTCAGAGATGGACAGTGGCTTGCTCAAGGTCACACAGAAAGAAATCGGAGCCCGGGTCTGTGGTGCTCCCAAGCTCACTGGGCCCCGGGGTGCTCCCCCCTGCATCTGCCCAGACTCAGGACTCTCCGTCCCAACCCCCCCCCCGCCCGACCAGACAGAACTGGTGTACCCCAGCTGGGGCTGCCACATTCCCCAGCCCCTGAAGCAGGGGAGGGTGGCTGACGAGTCATGGAGGTGGGCTGCATGAGAACTTGTGGCTGAAACTCAGGAACAGGAGTCACGGACTCCTGCCCCTCGGGCCCCCCCGCAGACACACACAAATGCACCGCACCACAGGAGAGCTAAAGCCCTCAGAGACTTTTTATTGACTCTTTTCTGAAAGTTCTTCTCGCTGGAGCAGTGGCAAGCCCCTCTCCCTGGGCCACCGTCGTGGGTCAGGAGCGCGTCTGCTCAGGCTTGGGGCTCTGCTGGGCCACAGGATCTTCTTCAGTGCTCTCCTCCTCCTGCCGCTCAGATTCCATCAGCAGCACCTTGCCCTGTACCGGGAGCTCTTCTTCTTCTTCTTCTTCCTCCTCCTCCTCCTCCTCTCCCTCCTCCTCTTCCTCACCCTCGGATGACAAGGAGAAGTTATCCTGACTCACGCAGGCCACGAGTTTCTTCATGGACGATTCGTGGCCCCGGCTGTGGCCTGTGCTGAGCTTGGCACAACGGGAACCCATTGCCCGCTCTGGCTGCCTCTCCAGACTGGGCAGGAAGGCCACTGAGGGGTGGGGGGAGTGCAGGGGCTGTGAGAACAGCAGGCAGGGCGATGACCTCACAAAGGGGCCCCTGGAGTCCCCCCACCCCCACCCTTGGATACCCGAGTCCGGGGCCAACACCTGCCTCAAACCCCGACCACCAGCAGTCCCCCTGAGCTCCCACCACCTGCAAGCTGGGAAAGAGGATTCCAGGCCAGCTGCCTTGCCTGGCCACGTTCCCTCCTCTGCCAGGCCTCATGTGTGCTGGCAAAAGTTCCCCTTTTAGCTGGGATAACAGTTGGGGTAGAACTTCCAGAAGCAGGAGAGCCCATAGACTCCTTCCCACATTCCAGAAATACCCAGCTCAAGGGAGCTGTTGACAGTACGTGAAGATGGGTCAGAAGAGTGACTACTTTTGGGGGAGTTGGCACAAGGGAGGGGAGGGACTGGAAATGTCTGGTTTCTTGACCCAGGGGCCAGTGGGGGAGGCTACGCAGGTGTACTGAAAACTCATCCTCTATGTATAAGTTATGCTCCTGGAAAACTAAAGAAACCCCTAGTAACTCTTTCCTGTTTGGGGATCACAGGTCTCCTGACACATACCCGTACTACACAATTTCAGCATGGGAGGGATGCTTTGTCAGCACTTTGGTTTCCAGCAAATTTTCTGCCCCAAATAAAACAGCTGAATAATGACTCTGGCTTATCTGAATAATGGCCTGGCTTATCTGGGTGGGCCCTTAATGTACTCACAGCAGAGGGATTCGGGATTTCACACAGGAGGGCAGTGTGCTCACAGAAGCAGAGATTAGAACACTAAGAGGAGCTTCACTGCAGAGGCAGGAACGGGTTCTATCCTGGAGCCTCCAGAGAGAGCATGGGCTGCTGACAGGGCCTTAAAATTTGTGTGTGGTAATGCAGGACCTCGGATGGTGCACCAGGCCCATTCCGTCCGGCAAGGGGCTTTGGTTCCCTCCATGCTGCTGGAGCATGCCAGACCTGCTGTCCATGTCAGTACAATTCATACTTTCCCCAGCTACCCAGCACCCCCGAATAGTCGTGAAGGTGGAATAGCAAACCCTGGCTCTGGGTGATGGAGGGCACCCACAGTGTCACAGGGTGACCTGCCAGCATGGTACGGGGTTTAGTCGATGAAGAGGAGACTCTGACAGCCAAGTTTATTATCTCAAGCTTTATTTGGCAGATGGCTTTTGCTCATTTTAGTCCAGAGGTGGGCTCTGGCATCCAGCGTCAGGGAGATGGCTGTGGCCTCCCAAGGTGGTGCTTTGGTGGGTGACTTTTCCCGAAATCCCACCCGGGGCTTCAATGGCCCCAGGAAGGCTTAGTGCCGCCTTCTGTATCTCCTCCTCCCAATCTTCCTGGAGCCTTTTGGGAAAGAGTTCAGGTTACCA